TCGCCTCCTGGCGCGCTCCTATGGCCAGCGCTGATTTGGTCAGCTGGTCCATAGACTCCACCCTGGGCGCCCGGGAAAGTTCGTCTTTCACAGCCGAAGAAAGCCCTTCTTCAAAGAGCATTTGAATGGGTTCCGCCGATAAGTCCCACCCCAATCTGTGAACAAGCATGGTGAACTCAGTCCAGTACTCACGGACAGATCGGCTCCCCTGTTTGCAAGCCATTAACTGTCTGCGCACCACTCCCTTTTCAATATCGCTGGAAAACATCAGATCCATGGCGCGAAAGAACTTCATTGTGTCCTTTAGGACGTCACTATTCGCTGCCATCAGGGGTCTAACCCAGTCTCTCGCCCCTTTTCAAGATGCTCAATCACGAAAGCCACTCGTGATTCCTCGTCAGGGAATTCATCAAACTGCAGATTGAGGGCATATTGCATTTCTGTCCGAAAGCCATGATAGTTTTGGGCTCCCCCAAACTTCTGCACCAATCCTGGTACCTTTCTGGCGAGCTGGGTGGCTTTCCCCTTTTTGTCTGCATCCTGAGCCCTCCTCTCCTCAAGCCTCGCCGTCTGCATCGCTAGCTGGACCTCTAACACCCGGTACCTTTCTTCCAGGCTTGGACCCACTCCAGCTCCTGCTTCTCCGGTTCCGGCTGGGTTGCTCATGATGCCTTCTCCTGCACAAGCTGCTTTCAAAGACTGTCGGAATGCTGTGATGAGATGATGAGCTGCTTGTGCGTAAAATCGTATCCCTTCAGAGTTTGTTCAAGTCCACAAACCTCTGTCTGTGACGGAGCCCCTCAGACATGGCCCCTCTAGTCACTAGCAGATTCCGACAGTGGTTGCTTTCGTAATCGCTTCCAACATAAAAGCTCCTTAACGGAAACACGTCTTCTGGACTCTCTGCGTGACAGTTTCCGGCGAGGAGTGGGTGTTCTTACAGGAGGTCCTGAAACCTCCCCACTGTTTTCGCTGGAAGTGTCTCTGAGCCATCCCTCCAGCTCAGCTCCTCTCCCCTGCTGGTTCCCTCTTCAGCTGCTGCGTCTCTCCCAACCTGTGTGAGCCCTTTCACCTCCCTGCTGGTTCCCTCTTCAGCTGCTGCGTCTCTCCCAACCTGTGTGAGCCCTTTCACCTCCCTTCCGTCCGATGGCAGTTCCCTGACAATATGCATGAGGATATATGTTTGTTCATGAATACTTGGTAGCTATTGGGTTTTTTGTGTGCCCCCCCCCAACACTTTCTATTTATTTTAATGCTACTTTATACTATTCATACTATTCATCCTGAGTCACAATGCAGCTTTAGAACTCAGAGGTCAACAGTCGACATGATTTTCTCACTGTACCAGCAGCAAGAGAAATACTGGGAGCAGAGACATCACCTTCGTAGACCTGACAAAGGCCTTTGACCTTGTCAGCTGAAAAGGCCTCTTCACTGCTCAACAAGATAGGATGCCCACCTAAGCTTCACAAGATGATAGTGTCCTTCCACTAGAACAGATGTGACACCGTCCAGTATGATGGTTCATTTCTCCCACTTTCTTTGACATATTCTTCTCCCTATTGCTCTCATATGCCTTCAGCTTGACTGAAGAGTGAACTTTCATTTGAGGAATGAGGAAGGTCTGTTCAACTCAGCATGTCTCCATGCCAATAAAAAAAGTGACAGGTCCTTATCCGAGACAAACATATTGGCAAGGCATCTACGGCATGGGTGTAGCCAGGATTTTTGTGGGGGGGGGGGCATGCCTGTTGTTAGATGGCGGCAGGCCTTTTGTTGGGGGTGGTGGAGAACCTCAGTTAGCTATGTATTTTTAATTGATTTTTATTGATTTAGGGAGGGCAGCTGCCCCTCCCTGCCCCTCCATTGGCTACACCCATGGCCTACGGCAATGGCTTGATTATCCAAAAGGTATGGAAGAATGGGATTTTAATTATCAATACCAATGCTAGGCTTGTGTGCTAACATACTGCTTTATGGAAGTGAGTCGTGGGCAACTTACTCCCACCAAGACCAATGACTCAAAATGTCTTCAATATGTGCTGCCTCAGGAGGATTTTGTGTGTCACATGGCAGGACAGAGTTTCAAATAAAGATGTGCTTTCCCAGCCCATTCGCACTTCTGTCTACGCTGGCTTGGTCATGTCCACAGAACAGAAGATGGCAGGATCCCCAAGGACAAGCTCTATGAGGAGCTGGCTTCAGGCACCAGACCCACAGTTTGACCAGCTCTGCATTACAAAGATGTCCGCAAACGAGACATGAAGACTGGCAACATTAACCCTGCAGTATGGGAATCCCTTGCAGACCTGTACCTGCCTTGGTACAGACAGTCAGGTCGTGCATCCACAGCAGTGACTAGAGGAGAAATGACCACTGGGGAAAGCACAGAGAGAAGAAATGTCACCTGTAGCAGCAAAGCCAGACTCCTTCATCTACCCCACCTGCAATAAAACATGTATCTCCTGTATCTGTCTGTACAGCCACAACAGGCGTTGTAACTCTCCAACGCTTCGACTTTACGCTTGAAAGTGCACTCCTGCATTACCTCCCAAGACAGATGGATGCCAACAACTATATGGTTCATATAAAATACGACTCCAGTTTTGTGGTACCTTGTACTTTCACCTATAATTACAATATGTTTCCTTTTCTGTTCAGAGCAAACACCCTTTTCAATTTCTCCACATTTTCAGTGTGCAAAATCTATAAGCTATTGTGTGTCATGCTCATTTCTAGTTGTCTCATTTTTTATTCATGCTGAAAACAATATCCCCTGGATTGTTGCACACTTTCAAATCTACAATATAACTTAATTTAGTGCCACATGCAGTTATGGTTGAGTTAACATAAGCGAGGCATAAGAAAAATAAAAAATTATATTAATGCTGTCACATGGCAGAAAATAAGAATAATGTGAAATATAAAGGAAGTGCCATTTAAATGCAATGTTTAAAAATGAAGGGGGGGGGTGATTGATGGCCTCTCAACTCCAGAAGGCAGACAAACAGTTGGAATATTCCCCAGCTATTCTGCAATTAATTAGCATATAAATATTAGCATTTGCCTATTTAGCAGGTAGGAAAGTCTTATATGGAAAGCACCACACGTAACAGCATGTGCATTTTATGACTTATGATAGATGACTGAAAAATAAATGCTCTTTCCATTTGGTGACAGACTAATGCACTAAAGTAGTAAAGTATATAATATTTCACTTTCTGATTAAATGCAGTAAGTACAGGCCTGATTGTAAAATGACAAATATTTTAACACTGATCTAGAACTCCATTTTATTATACTATGCCACAACTTGCTAGTTTGGGAAGCAGTGGCAACCTAAGATTTCATATGGTAGAGGAACACTTTCTATGCCAGATATCACCACTCTTTCTCTTTCATCTCCACATTTCTCCTATCACGCATACATTAGAGTTCCCAATAAAATCTCACCTAAGAAGGACTTTAAAGCTTTTCATTCTCAGGAAAAAGCATTTGACGACTGTCAAGGGAAACTAAAACAGTTGTGATAAGGGAAGCAGCATGAGGGCAGAGGAGGTGTCTGCATTTCCCTAGATTGTTTCTGCATGTTTTCAGTTGATAGACAGGTTAGAACCAGGGGGACATGAGTTCAAAATCCTGTTGATCCACAGGCACCAAGCATAGGAAGAATGAGTTCAGGGAGGCTCAGCCTGGGCTGAAAACCTATTAGCCTCAGGAGGGAGACAGAGAGAAGGTGTGCCATCAGTCAGGAAGCTAGACAAGAATGTTACATTCTCTCTCCAACAACAGAACAGCAACGTGAAACTGATGACTCTACCCAGATAAAACTATGTCCAATGCCATCTTGTGAGTAGACTGTATAATGGCACTATCCACCCAGTAAGTAAATGAGTTAAGGACATACATTTAATGCTGCTGTGTCTGGCTGTAAATCCAAATCAGGCAGTGATAACCATAAAGAGCTTTAACAAAGGCGACTCAATGAAATTTAACATCCCCAGTCTTCTAATTTTACAAAACAAAAAATGGGGAAATGAGAGGGGGCATGGGAAAAGTTTGTAATGGTCTTGGATAAATCATGCTTGGGCACTGCTCATTCATAAAATTCACAAGGCCAGCATCACAGGATAGTTGTGATAATAAAATCTGATAACTCTCACATATGCCAGTAAATTAATGGAACAACTGTATTAAATGGAAAATGACAATACTGGGATGCCGGTGGCAAGTTTTAGTAGTAAGGTGCACAACTTATTAGTCTGCAGTCCTATACACACCTTTCAGCAAGTAAGGCCTATTAAACTCAGTGGTGCCAACATCTGAGCAGACATGCATAACTATCTGTTGTTAGTTATGGATCTCAATGAGAAAAGGATAGGTCAAATGTATCTTCCTAATTTGTGAAGGACAACATGTCAGGTAAAAATCCAAAAGGAGATTAAAGGGATGACTTCAGGCTGTAATTGATGAACTGCTCTGCAGGCTTAAGAAATATAAATCATTTCCATAGATTAAAGTAAGATCAGGGAGTACAGAGTTGAGGTTTACAAAAGGCTTAATGGAACAGATTATATGAATAAAGTTAATTTTATTCAGCAGAAAGGAAACTACCAAGTTAATGAAGTAAGAGTTGGAACTAACTAAGCATGCAAGAAAGTATTTTCAAACAAGGTCTTAAAAGTATACAATTAATATTCATTAACAATTTATATTTTGAAACATCATGCTTAATTTATGTTTGCTCATTTCTGACAGAGTAGGATATTGTTAGTCAATTAGCTAATTTTGTAACCAACACGTTCCCCCCAGGATAAAGGATAATAACGGCCTTCTGGGGTATTCTCATGTGGGTTGTACTGCAGTAGTCAGGGAATGCTTTAATTATCCAGAATGTAATTATTTGGTACTGAAAGTGAGGAAACATCCCACCCTGAGTTGTTGTTTTTTAAAAAAAACTTGCTCTTGAAAATAAAAATAAAAATAGGGCTGTGTGTGTCTTAGGAGTAGTGTGTGTGTGTACACACACACACACACACACACACACATACAGAGAGAGAGAGAGAAAGAGAGAGAGAGAGAGACATAAAACAGGAAACTATCCATCTATCATCTATCAATATCTATCTCTCTATATATCATCTATCTATCTCTCTTCTGCGTGCTGTTATGAGCATTTGATAGAAGGATCTATAATCCTCTACAGTTTCCAACTTGAAATGAAACTGAGATGCCATTGTAGAGTTTTGGTAGTGGGAGATGTGAGAGATCCTCAGCAAGGTTTATTTTTCCACGTATGACATTGCATATATTTAAGATTACATGCAAACCTGCATTCACAAAATACCATTATTGGGTATTGCTACTTTCTTTATAACTCATCATCAGGACTCTGTGATCTCACTCACCTCACCACCAAGGCAAGGTGAGGGAGCAGAGTGGGGATGAACCCCATCCTTCTCCAGCCAAGGATGTGTTTTATCTCTGTGTTTGTCAGACACAAGCAAGAGCCACAATGAGCTTCCACTTCTGACTCCAAATTGGAGGAGGGAGGGGGGAGCACATGCACCCAATGGGCACTCCAAGTCTGGACCACCAGTCAAACCCAGGTAGGGAGGCAGAGTGTGCATGCGCCTCTGCCTCCAGGCTCCATCTCTCAGATGGAAGGGTGAAGGGTAAAGCAGAAGGGCACAATGCCTTCTCTCTGTGCCTCTATCCCTTCCAGGAGAAGGAGTGGGTAATGTTTTCTGCATTGAGCAGAATACCACTTCTATCTCTCCAGCTCTAAGCTTAGAACTGGAGGGGAGCAAAGGAGTCTTCCTGACAATACTCTGCATTTTAGAGACGCCAAGCAGGTTCTGAATGTGGAGATGAGACTGTTATTTCCTCCCAACCCAGCTGCTTGCTTGGAGAAATATGGAAACAGTGAGTTGATGAGAAATACAGATCTGGAATGAGAGTGAGAAGCCACATAAGGATACACACACACACAGTGGAACTTTGGTTTTTGAGCGTCTTGGAAGCCGAACGATTTGGAACCTGAACGCTGAAAACCTGGAAGTGAAAGCTTCCGTTTTCAAACACGCCTCAGAAGTTGAACAACTTCCAAGGCACATTTCTCCATTTTCTCAATGGAATTTGCTGACCACTCATTGTGCCTGAACATTTCAGAAGTCAAATGTGTGTGTATATCTCTCTCTCACCATGGAGAACAGGACGGAGTAGCTGGCAATAGAGTCAGCTCCACTAGCAAAAGCCACCTAACATCTCATTTTACCTCTTTGAAAAGTGACTATGCTGCCACTGCAGTGACATGTCTTTTCTCAGCACATATCCTGAAAATCAACCTTGTGATCCCAGTGGACCCTGTCATTTCCCACCAAGAATGAGTTTGCACCTCAGCATCCATGATCCTAAGTGGGGGTGGACACTATCAGGGCTCAAATTCTTACTTTAATCCAAACCCAACCATAAGAAATATAGAGTTATGTTGTCTCTTAATGGGATTACCATACTCCTCAACATAGGAGCCAATTCCTAGGGGCCATGGGGGCTTTGCCCCCACAGTAAAATATTTGAGGGGGCTGGGCCCCTACAAAGGTGATGGGCATTCCCATTCAAATGGTGTGTGTGCACTGCATCATGTGATCGATTATGTGGGGTGGGGATTTCCTGGGGCCCCACAATATTTCACTCAAGTTGGCACCCCTGCTCCTCAGAGTGTTTGTATCCCACTTTCCCATGCTCAAAGCAGCTCACAACATCCATAATATTTACATAATAAAATATCGCAGTGTTTCCAGACCATTCATAAAGAACTGACAAGATGTAACAAAACGTAAATAGTAAATAATCAAAATATCCATCATTAATTAATATACACAAAGATTTAAACAATCCACTAAAATTTCATTTTTAAAAATCAAAAACAATCCACAGAGCAGCAGAAATAGATGTTAGGGACTAGACAGAGGAGGACGGCTGGAGACTGCCTCCCCATCCTGACCCCTCCAGGGAGGAGGAAGAGGAAGACAGTATACTGTAGATTTACAACAGGGGTTTGAGGGAGGTCACAGCTCAGAGGCAGATGAGGGGGAAAGCTGGGAAATCATGGGAGAGGAGAAGCAGGCAGAACCAGAACGGCAGCAAGCTGACATGTTGTCATTAGAAAGCTTTCCAGACCCTACATCTCCCTGAACCCGGCGAGCCTTCAAAGTAGGAGAGCAAAGAGCTCAAAGACAGAGGGCACCTAGCAGCACCCATAGAGGAGGTGATGATGACGATGAATGAGGAAGTGGAAGAGCAGGGGGGGTGGAAATTCACTCGGGACAATGCCATTATCCAAGAGGCTGGGTTCTATAGCCTCTCTCTGTAAAGTCTGAAATAAAAAAGGACAGTAAGAAACTTTCCCTTGTCTTTATACTTTCCTGGGCAACCAGCCGGGATCCACTGACAGCATCCTGACAATAATACAGTACATCTTATCCAGAACTAAATTCTGCCCCCAGCAGCAAAACCCCACCATGATATGCCAGGTGAGTACGGCTGCCTCAATGGTGTCCCCGCTTATATTGTCCCTTAACTCCACTGTGGTAGTGATAGACAAATGGTCTTTCAGGGAAGCTTGTTTTCTGTTACTGATCTCAACAATGAGAAACCCCTAAAAAGCTTGTCATGAAGCTCAGGGTTCCACGGTTTGAACACCCCTGTTGTGCCCTATTTTCACAGCAACAAAAGAGCATGTCCAATATTAAAATTTACTGTTCTTCATTGCATTATATGCAGCTCCAAACAACTTTCCTTAATGAATTCAGCTGCGGCAGTGGCATATGGCATTAGCCTCCCAATCACTGGAAGCTACTCTCAAAATTAGACAAGTGATTTAATGTTATGGATGTCTGCATTTCCATTCACTGGATTGCTTTATGATGATGGTGTGTTGAAAATGTAAGTCTGAATTCATTCTTCATGAGGGGTCTTTGAGGGCTATTTCTGTCTGACGCATATTCCAAATTTGTCACAATGGATTTGTCCTACAATTGTAATCTGAGAAAAGACTACTTGACTGTTCAACATCACAGTTACAGTGTGTGGATTCAAGTTACAGTTGCCACAAAAGTCTGTGAAGTTTGAAGTGAAGTGTATGTGTGCATGTGTGTTTTGTTTATTAAACAAAATAACTTAAGAATTTTCAAAGAAATGAAATATATATAAAAATTAAAAAATTGTGCAGTAGCACCTTAGAGACCAACTAAGTTTGTTATTGATACAGTGGTACCTCAGGTTAAGAACTTAATTCGTTCTGAGGCCTGTTCTTAACCTGAAACTGTTCTTAACCTGAGGTACCACTTTAGCTAATGGGGCCTCCCACTGCTGCCGCACAATTTCTGTTCTCATCCTGAAGCAAAGTTCTTAACCCGAGGTACTATTTCTGGGTTAGCGGAGTCTGTAACCTGAAGGGTATGTAATCTGAAGCGTATGTAACCTGAGGTACCATTGTATAAGCTTTCGTGTGCACACACACACACACACACACATATATATAGACTGCATCAGACCAACACGGCTACCTACCTGAACAAAGAAATGAAGAGAGTGAAATTTTTCAGGTAATGTCTGCTTTCCCTAAGTTGTTATTGTCGTTCCTCTTCAGGTGAAATATCTGAATAAGTTTGAAGGAAGAAAATCAAAGGCATTTCAGTAAGACCATGGAACATTTTCCTAGGAACTTTGCTCAGTCTCTAGAACTAGTTGGATCAACTGCAATTCCCAAACAGTCTTCAAAGGCAGCACCATGTATAATAATAATAATAATAATAATAATAATAATAATAATAATAATAATAATGTAAAGGTACCCCTGCCCGTACGGGCCAGTCATGTCCGACTCTAGGGTTGTGCGCCCATCTCACTTAAGAGGCCGGGGGCCAGCGCTGTCCGGAGACACTTCCAGGTCACGTGGCCAGCGTGACAAAGCTGCTCTGGCGAACCAGCACCAGCGCAGCACACGGAAACGCCATTTACCTTCCCGCTATAAAGCGGTACCTATTTATCTACTTGCACTTAGGGGTGCTTTCGAACTGCTAGGTGGGCAGGAGCTGAGACCGAAAGACGGGAGCTCACCCGCCGTGGGGATTCGAACCGCCGACCATACGATCGGCAAGTCCTAGGTGCTGAGGTTTTACCCACAGCGTCACCCACGTCTAATAATAATAATAATAATAATAATATATTATTTATACCCCGCCCATCTGGTTGGATATAGCAGTGATCGCTCATAACAGTGATCCCTCTGAGATGTTACCAGAATATTGATAACTGCGGCCACGCTGTCTTTGTCAAATAAGGGTTGCACCTGATGCAAATATTTACGCCATCCCTTAATGCAAGAAAAATGAAAGGATGGTGTCCTTAATACGAGTAAAAGAAAACAAATCCTTGTGGGATTGATGATCATGTTTAACAGCAAGCAAGCTACTCTGCTCCAGATCTGCATGGGCATTTTAGGCCAGATGTAGTCATGATCCAATCTAACAGAAAGCTCTGCTGCCAAAAGTATCAGTTCATTGTAGATTCCCTTTTAAAAACCTACACTTACAAATTGGGGCAGGGTTCTGCATTTCCTTTATTGGCAGCCAAGGAAGCCAAGAATGGGGTGTAATGTTATCAGATCAACAGTATATTTTGAACATCTTAAAATACCATAACCAAAATTTGTAGGTCTTTGTCTGTGTTTAGATATAATTGGGTGCCATTTTGAATTAATATGGTGAACCAAACCTTTCAGAACTGCTCTGATGCCAACCAAATTTTGTAGGATGGTTCCTGAGATCCAAAAGCAAGTTGTCTAAGTTTCCATACAATCTGACAGAATTTTAAATCAAGGTAGTGGTCTGAAGCTTTCAAAACTGCCCAGATTTTTGTGGTTTCTTGAGACCTGAGCAACTCCTGGTACAAGGCTGATAGTATTTTATTATGGTAGCCATGGGGAAAAGGAAATGAGGAGACACGAGCTTTCAGCTTAATGGCATCACATAGGACAGACTTAGGAGAGGCAGTTGACCGCAGCTTGTGCTTCCTACTCAGTCAGACCAGTGCTTTTTGCTAAAAAATGTTTAGGAGTACTCTCATTTTCCTACTCATATTGAA